ATATAGTTCATTCAAGTGTTTTCTAACGTTTAAAGAAAAATGTGGTGAAACTCCATCTTGCATAAACCACATATCTCTCCGAAGTTGGAGAGGTAAATCTTCTAACAATTCTGGCAACGTATTTTGCAGAAAATCCAAATAATTTTCTCCAGTTAATTTTCGTGGAAGTATGACAGGACCAACAATGAAATTACCAATTATTCCAGCCCACACATTAGTTTTGAATTCGTGCTGAAAATGGTTTACCTTTATTGCATGCGGATTTTCAACGGCATAAACATGTTCATTATGGGTATTAGTTATACTTCTTCTTGTAAAACCCGCTTCATCGGTAAAGAGAACCTTCTTGACAAAGTTTGGATCTCTTTCTGTTTGCATATTAACAAATCGACAAAAACCCAAACGAATTTGAGGATCATGGACTAATAATTCTTGTACTGGCTTCTTATGGTATGGATATAGCAATTGTTCTCTAAGCACTTTATGAAACGACATCTTTACTTACTCCTAGTTCCCTTCCAATTAGTCTGGTGCTTAATTCTGGATCTTCTTCAATACGTTCTAAAATGTCTTCTTCAACTTCAGGAATCCTTACAAAACGTTCTCTTCCATTATCAACAGTGTTGGGAGCAAAGGAACCGGTCTCCCGAAGACGTCTCTCAACAGCAGCAAAAGTTGGGTGGCTAGGTACACGACGATTTGGAAACCTTTCAGAGTACACCCTGACACTCTCTCGAGCATTTCCTTCTCAAAATCCTAATGTCAGTAACATATCGGTATATTCTGCATTGGTATATTGTACAGCCATATTAATAAACCACGCATTTGTTTTTTTAATTATTGAGTCACATAGAACACTTTCAATCGTTAACAAGAGATTAAGTGTTAAAACATAAAATATTTTTATTTAGATGAAACTATGCAAACCAACAATACATGTTTTTGTATACGTATTGCAGGCAAATAATTAATATTCCTCAAAAAATCGTACATGGCAAGAATCGAGTATTTTTGTTAAAAGTCTCGATTAGAGGTGTTGAAGAACATATGAAAAAAGTACATTTTTATGTTTTTCATCGTATAAAATTTTGTCCGATAGTAATACATAGGCGTAGAACTTGATTTTTTAAATAATTTCACCTTAAAAAATTCTACGCCAATGGCAGCAAAGGGGTTTGAGTATAAAATTTGGATTGCGTACTCATTTACTACAAAAAAGTATCCTTGATAACACTCGATTTACTCTCATGGTTTTGACAAAGTTTGTATTTTAATATTTATTGTTTATGTTCTAAAATTACTAAAAAGCAAATTTCGTCAAAACCATAAGAGTAATCTAGTCTTATCAAGAGTACCTTTTTTAAAGTAAATGAGTTGTTCAATTTAAATTTCATACTCAAACTCCTTTTCTTCCATTGGCGTAGAATTTTTAAAGGTGCAATTATTTAAAAAATCAAGTTCTACGACTATGTATTATTATCGGACAAAATTTTAATACGATTTTTTTGCCACATAAAAATCTACCAATATACCAAATTTCAGCAAAATCGCATATGCCGTTTTCAATTTATATGGGAAAAACCATTTAAAAATTGTAACTTCAAGGCCCTCTGGAGCCCAAACGAAGCAACTTTTATACTAAGGTAATTTTACTTAAATCGACTTATTTTGGTATAAGGAATATGTGGTATGTTTTTGTAAAGACCTTTTACAGACACCATGTATAATATATTATATGATGATTAGCTTTTATAAGAAGTGTAATTGTCAAAAGTTAGAATACTAAATAATGATACTATGTATAAAGTACATTTATTTACATAACTATATTTGCTTTCAAAAATTTGTAATTTACAGATTTGTAGGTCATAAATAAAACACCAAACACATTTTAAAATTTAATTTTTTAAGATTAAATTAATATACACAAAATAAACATAATAAGAAAATATAATAAATCTACTATATATTAAAAATTGTAACGGTTGGAACCGTTATTCGTTATTTCGGACACAATCACCTCTTACTCAAATGCCATATGTGTCTCATAGGAAGAACTTAGAAAAAGTGCATCCAAAGGACTTAATTACAGGGATATTAAATAACTGTAAATGGAAAATTAGTGTTAAATTTTTATTGCAAGAAGAGTCTTTTACCCGTAACGTGCGCAGGTTAAATAATCAGATTTAATTAAAAAAAAAAATTAAGATTTGAGTAAGGAATAACACTTTTGTACTTAATGATCACCCTGTAGTTCATGAAAATTCACTAAAATATATTTTTTTATAATATATACACAGGATATTCCAAAAGTTAGGTAAATTTTCCAAAAATAAATATTTTCAATATACTTTTCATCACTAAATAAACAAAACCTAGTCAGCTTCACCTAGAGAAAATATAAAAATAACTAACAACGTATTGTAGACAAAAAAATTCAAAATACACTGATAAAGGATTTCTCAGCCTACATAAAAATTTCACTGCACTACAGAAACAAAAGTTTCATCTTTAATCATATATAGGAATATTTTTATCACATAAATTATACATTTTAAGTAAATTTAAAAAAGCATCTATGTAATTTAATCAATTTGTATCACACAAATGATATATTTTTAGTAAATTAAAAAAAGCACCATTTAAAATTAATAAGTTAATAAACATTTAACAGTTTTTAAAGTGATAAAATAAAGGGATTTTTACTCGAATATTTAAAATGGACAGAAGAGAAATGGACAAAAAGGTATAAATTAGGACTAGACAATTTGTAAACATTTTTTTTAATAGTTAACATTGTGCTATCAAAATCTCCATCATATATCGTCGTCTATCTATGGAGGATTATTGTTACAATAAATCTATAGGGGCTAATTTATTAAACCCTGAATATCTCCCAAAACTCTTCAATTTTTATTGACAAGAGAACATCTTTTTATCATAACCTCAACTATCATACGTCATTAAAAGAAGGAATATCCCTCTTTCAAAGTTTAAAATAGAATCTTGTATAAACATTTTTTTTCTCACAATCCCTTGATATTTAATTTAACTAATTGGAAAATTGTTGTACCTAATAGGAATCGTTCTGAAATTCTTAAAATTTATCATGATGATGTTACTGGAAGTCATTTGGGTATTTCCAAAACTATCTTTCGTATTTCAGAAATTTATTATTAACCAAATTTAAGGAAAGATATACATAACGGTATATTAAAATCAAAATTAATGGGACAAATTTCAGGAGGTGATTGCTCGTATGAAATTAAGATGGGTGTTTCCTATAACAAAATTTCTTCAGCCCACCCCTTTCCGAGATATCACCCTTAAGAGGTGGTGACTAAAATTGAGTTTCTATTTTTTTTTTTAAAAGTTCAGTAAAGCTAGAAACTTGAAATTCTGTAATTTTCGTGCACTCGCAAAGGACTAACCACGGTTATTTTTTTAATATTCCTGTTACATTATAGGGGGGTGAAATTTGCAACCCTTACTTTATTTCATATCAAAACTTTTTTTCGAGATGAAGTTTTATGAAATAATTTTGTAACTTGAAATACATGTTTTATTTAAAAAAAAATTCCCAAAACCAATACCTTCATAGAAAAAAAATACTGTTTTCCACTCAATTTATTAAAAAAATGATAAATTAGGGAGTTAATTTTTTTTCTCTGACGCTATTGATTTTGGGAAAAAAATTCAAGAATAAAAAAAATTAAATAAAACAAGGATTTCATAACAGCTCATCTCGAAAAAAAGTTTTGATATGAAATAAAGTAAGTGTTGCTAATTTCACCCCCCTATAATGTAACATAAATATTGAAAATATACCCGTGGTTGGTCCTTTGCGATTACAGAATTTCAAGTTTCTAGCTTTACTGAAATTTTAGAAAAAAAAATAAAAACTCAATTTTAGTCACCACCTTTTAAGGGTGATATCTCGAAAAGGGGTGGGCTGAGGAAATTTTGTTATAGGAAAGACCCATCTTAATTTCATACGAGCAATCAGTTCCTGAATTTTGTCGCATGTATTTAGAAACACCCTGTATATTACACATTTTTTTAAGCGGGCAAAATTCTTGACAATCTCTTTTCCCTAATTGGCACATGTCGTATTTCTCTAGGATTTACCAACTCTGGCAGCAAACAAATAAAATAGAAATTTGTCAGCTGTGCATTTTTGCCTTCCAGAATTTTTCATTTCATAAATTAACTAAAAACTAAATTAAACAAAAACCTAACAACGCCTCAACAACAAACTAAGACGATCACAATAATTTCGCACCTCTTCAAAAACAACTACTTATTTTTCGACACAGGTTTTAACAAATTTAACTAAACAGCAGCTACCCTTTTAACTACGGGCTTCATAGACTAGCAGCGTTGCCATATTCACTGGTATCATTGTTTTAATAGAATTAGTTACGGAATTAAAAACTATGTTAATCTTCGGTCCTCTTTAAAATTGGTAATCTTTTTGAAAAAAAGTTATTTAGAAAATAGTTAAGATATTTGTTATAGAATGACGCTAAAGAGCCAAAAATTTAAATTTGTTAAAAAGTTGAAATTTATGTTGTTTTTCTTTAAAAATATAAGTTTTTCGCGGTTTAGCGTCATTGTTGGTTTATTTTTACAACGATTGGCCTGAACCATTTTTTTCTACAATTTTTTTACCTGCCTCAAATGTAAAATTGATTTTTGGCGGAGGAGCGCCCGTCATGTTTGCCCTTAAAGCGTAACATACAGCTAATAGTTTGTCCCTGGGTCGTTGTTAAACGTGTTTTTATACGATATCCTTTGTTTTGCCGAAAAAGAAAGAATATCTTTACCTCCAACTATACGAAAATGCTTGGTGCTTGGTACTTTACCCAGCTCTGCTAAATTATTTGGTAAAGTAGAAGCGCTTGAGTTGAATCCTTTTTAAATATGTACAGTTCCTTGTAATTCACCTTGTATAAATAAAGAAAAAAAAAATGTATCGTTTATTTTATTTTTTTTTTCAGCGAAGCGTCGACAGCGTACTGGATTCTTCGCCCCTGCGAAACTCGAGAGCCGTTACGTCAGAGACAGCTCGCCGCTGGGTATCCAGCGTGGAGGAACCCAATAAAATCGAGACCCACAAGGCTCCTTCTGCGGCCGGTGTATCTGCATCCCACCCAACTTCTCGGCAAAATTCCATCAGCACGAAACTCAGTCCTGCCGCGGACGCAGACCTGATCGGCGCGAACAGGTGAGAACCAAGAGGTGTTTCTTCTTTCCTCGTTTTCTTCTTTTCGCCCGTGTACCATGAAAGCGAGTCTGAAAACGTCAAGGTTGCGTTTTGATTTTTTTTTGTGTAGGTGCTGCAATTGTGCGTGATTTTTAAGGATAGCAGATTTATGGAACGACAATGATTCGGTATAAAATACTTTACTTTTTTTTGTCTTTAGTTTATAAAAAAGCGCTACTTTTTTTTAAATATTTACGTTTAAAATTATTTACAAAATTTTGATAAAAATGAGATATTAATAGAGTTAAAATAATTTAATTAAAATGCTACTTTAATATATATGTTTTTAAATATTTATGATTAAAAATAATTACTAAATTTTGATAAAAATTAATACATTATAATAATTTGTTAATTATGTTTTTTTTTTAACTATAGTACCACTGATATTAATATTAAATATGATTTATTTGTATGAAAAAAGAAATACTAAAGGGAACCAGAAAACAATAAAAAAATTCTCTGGTTCCTTATCCAGCTGTGCGAAGCCTCCCAAATTAATTTTAAAAGCTACATGCGTTTGACCATCTATTAACCATATACAGGGATTTCATTTCAAAACTAGCCACCCAAAATAACTTTTAAAATACCTTTAAAACAAAAAAACACGTTAATTTATATTTACGGGGGGGGGTGGGACATTTTACAAGTATCTGTAACCGTGCAGTTTCATCCCCTAAGCGGTGGTGAATATCACTTTTAAAATTTTAAATAGAAAGGGGTATCATGTGATAGCTCTTCTTAAAGGTCTCTTTTTTTCCAATCTTTTAAAACATTATTTTTTTAAATCGGATTAATTTTTCACCAAGTTATGCCATTTTAACCTTTTAAATTAAAATAATTATTATTTACATTGTATTTACATTATTAATATTTTATTTGCGTAAGAATTACATTGTACTTAAGATGTTCAAAATGTCCGCCATTGTTGGCAAGGCAATGGTAAAGTCGCAGCTCGAATTCATCCCGCACTTTTTGAAGCGTATCTGTTGTAATCCGCTCACACTCCTCCACTATTCTACGTCTAAGTTCAGGAATATCGCGAGGTTGAGTTTTATACACCACAGTTTTTAGATGTCCCAATAAAAAAAAGTCAAGTGGCGTTAGGTCGGGTGATCTCGCTGGCCATTCTATAGCGACCCTTCTTCCGATCCATTTATCTGGAAATGTCTCATTAAGCCAATTTCGTACAGGCAAGGCATAATGTGGAGGTGCTCCGTCCTTTTGAAAAAATAGGTTTTCTGCGTCTATACTCTGTTTTTAAACTAAGAGGAGCGAATTGAAAAGTCCTATTTACACAGGGAAAAATAACTAAAAAAGTAACTAGATATCATTTTAGCGGTAAATTTGAATTTGTCTTGTATCATTTCAAGAAAAACATTTCAAAACTTTGTTATGAATTCATCGAAGTCAAAGTTTTAGATAACCACCGAATAAAGATGACACTAAATTGTGCTCATTCCGTTTTTGATTTATAATTATTGTATTTTAGTTGTACTTTTATTTTTTCCTTACTTCGTCGCATATCGCAACTCGGACCAGTATGTTGGGAAGAGAATCGCCCAATTTCAGTAAATTGAGTGAGTAAAATGTCTCCCATACAAAATAATTTACATTTTGAGTTTAACATAGAGTTTTAATTATTGATTATGAAATTAATTATATGATTAGAAAATTATATATCTATTATAATAACAGAAAAGAAAGTAAATAGTAGGTTTTTCAATTTGATGGAAAAATTAGAAAAATAGGTATGCCAGTTCTATTTGTTGAAATGAAATTAAGCACCTATTATTACCTACCTATTACAAAACATATTTAGGAGGGACTGAAAAATATGTAGTTGAAGAAAAGCTTATTTAACATGAAGAATTTTGGAAGGTACAAAAAAATAAAGTTTATTTTTATATTTCTTTATAGGTATAGTTTAATTTGTAATATTTTTTCTTAAAACTAAACTACAAGATTACCATTAGTTGTATGGATTTCCTAATTAAATAAGGGTTCTTTCTTCAGGTAAAATGTAGCAAAGTTATGAAGTACGATACGATATGTTTGCAGACAAGTGTTTTGAAATGAAATAAATCAAATCTATACGAATTTTGTCTCCACTAACAAGATGTTATATTCAACAGTCGAAAGTGTAAACTTGTGGGCAACAGCTTATTAAGTCCTGTAGAAGTCCAAGAAAGTGCAATGGTACCAGCTTTTACTATAATAATAATAATGGTTTTTATCATTCTCCTGTTTTTTCGTAGATAGGATTTATAATTGTTGCTTAAATTACACATTGTGTATCAGAATGTCTTTGGTCTTCTTGAAAACATATTTTTATATAATATAAAGCAGATGGTATATTTTTTTGAGACATCCTTCAAGCCTTTCGAAAACTAAATGTTTATTTGCAGGTAGGATAATATCTATCTTAATTTTGTATGATCATTTATTGTATAGACAAATAATTAAATAAAAATTATTAAGGCATAAAAAAGGTAATTTGTAACTTTGTGTCAGCAAAAGGATTTCCTACACCCAATTTAATATATTTTTTACAAACAAATAAAATGTCTTTAGTATGATCGGTAGATATTTTTAATAATTCAGCATGACATATGTTTCGGAATCTTCTGGTGCAGTCACAGCTTTTTAAAATTTAAAAAATCATTTAGGAACATAAACACTTTAAAATGAACATGGACGAAACCCATATTTTGTGATAGTGTGTAGGTAGCTTACAACTAGTTGATTAAATTAAAATACATGTTTGACAAATCTTTTACACATTCGCAGAGTTTAATATGTGTAAGTGTAGTTATAATCTTTGCAGTCTATTTTATAAACTACATTTAGTTAAGTTGCTTTCTTGAGTTTGGGTTTAAAATTTAAAAATAAGGTTTCGTTTACCAGCAATTTTTACATTATATCTAGAGAACATTTTTGACACTTGTTTGGAAAGTCCTTTTACATATAGCAATTTAATGTTTAGAAAAGGGTGCCACACCAAATGTCACAGTGATAACACTTTATGCTTTTGACTATTTATGGTTTATTTTCAAATAAATAAAATTTACTTTAATATTTAATTATATTTTAATCATTTTGATTAGAAATTCATTAATTTTTAGTTAAAAAAAAAAAAATTAGTAATAAAGTTGTATTTTTTTTAAGTAGAACACCAAAAAAGCAATATTTAACAATTTATAATATTGCAGAAAAAATGCTACCATATATTCCTGAGGCTTAAATATAACGATTTAACCCAACTTATATCAGTCAAAAAGTAGATGATTTCAGAAATACAGAGTGTTAAAAGTTCAATTTAGTTTTTCATAAATAATTTTTTTAATAATTAATGTATTTTTAAAATATTTGGTTAGGAGGGGTTTGTGGGGTAAAATATTTAAAGCTGCTCCCATTTTTATTGTAAAATTTAAAGGACGCCTTTTTTATAAATCCAGATTTCTCAAAAACGGCTACTCAAATCTACTCTTACCACTTATACCTTGCAGAACAAGAATTTTTATTTAAGTTAAATACAGAGTGGCGCTTAAATGTGTGTAGGGTACAACAATTTTATAATAAAAATGAGAGCAGTTGTAATTTTTGTATACTACACTGTAGTTTTGTAATTTTTTTTAATATGGGTTAAAAAAACAACATATGAATAGTAGTATCTTTATTTTGTAAATTTGTTATATTTTAATTAATAATAAAGTTTGAAAAATAAAACAAAAATACATAAGAGGTGCTTATACAACATAATAAGTTAAAGACAAAGTACATCTTGACATTTACATTGAATCAGAAACAAAAAACACAAAGTACTCAATCTGTTAATCTACATCAGAAGATTCGTTTTGTTTTTAGCTGCCACCTGATTTATTTGTGCCTCTATCAACTCTATGGGATTTAACTCGCAGTGATATGGGGCAGCCACTACACAACTTTATTGGTTTCTTTAGCCTCTACATCGACAACATTCAAATTATGTGCATCTTTATGTTGCCAAATTAGGTGTAAAACTTGATATCACTTCATATTTAAATAAATTTAATATTTTTAGTTTTGTAACCATTCCTGTCAGATTTTCTTGATGACAAAGGAATTTTTTCAACTTTTCGACTATGATATGATACATTTTCCATCACAATCATAGCATAATTAGAAAACTTTGTAAAAAATGTAGAAAACCAATTCGGATTTCGTCTCGTCAAGGTAAATGCATTTTCTACAAAACCTTCAGAATTAGTACGTATGTTAAGGCACCTGCTTTTGGCTTTTCAGGCCTGTTGATAAACCCTATTATGATCTTTATCAAAGTAGAAGCTTGACCTGTTTTATTTTCTATATTGTTGGATGGATTTTAAATCTACGTATATAGTGTTCTATCAATACACTTTGACAATTTCTTTTCAAATATCCAAAAAAATATATACATAATAAATAAACAGTACATTTGACTGGTCAAAGTTATAAACTTATTTAGTTATTATATCTCAAGAAAGTATATAATGATGAATAATATATTTGTGGCAAATCTAAATATTTCAATTCTTGCAAAATTTTATTCAATCTAGATAACTCATTTTTGAAAAAGAAATCGTGTACTAATCTTCGAATAGCATTTATTATCATCATCATCATCATCATCATCATCATCATCATCATCAAATGTTTTTAGAACTCCTCGTCTTCCATAAATACTTTTTAGACTAGATATTGTTCCATTATTGCGGTATTATTTCAATAATCAGTAAGTAGTTGACTTTGACCTATAAGAAAAATATTGAGTAGGTATTTAATATTATTTTTAATTTGAAAGTAATGAGTAAAACTTACTGGTAGCTTGAGAAATTTTGGATATAACATCAACAATTTTGGTTTTCGTATTATTATCCAATACCTATTTGTACATATTTATTATTTACTGCTTTTCTGAGAGACTTGAATAGCTTAAACTCATTCGTTTTCGTTGTTTTGATGGACTCCGCGAGGAACTGTTATAATAGTATTCGATGTAGAAGGATCCATAATCGTAGAAATTCAATACAATTGCTTACTAAAGTTTTGAAAAGAACTGTTATTAAAGAAATAAAATAAAAAACTAAGTAATAATGATGAGATATCA